CCTTTGACAGAAAATTAACCAACAAAACAGGTCTAGATTTTTATATTTTAAGTGCTTGGAAGCTGCGTGTCCAAGTGAATGGACTGGTTGATGGAAATGGAGCATTTCTGGCTTCTGCTGGAGAAAACTGGAACTGTTTAGATACATCTCATGGGACCCAGAGTGCTTGTGGAGAGTCTCCTGTGGCTGAAGACATAGGGGGCCTGTGTTTATAGTGGGGGATAAATGTGGAGATATGTGGGGGCAGGGATTTGGCTTCTTTTTATAGAGGAAAGCTGTGTACTCTGCCTTGAATTTGAGGCCACATTTGGTTAGTAACCTCATGGTTTTGCCCTCAGCTCTTACAAATGGGAGCTGCTGAGCCCAAAGGAGAAGATTTTGCTGAGGAAAAAGAAAGAGGATGGAGAATTCTGGTAATGACACAGTCTTGCCTCTCCCCTCTGTGCCAGTAGCTCTGGGGCTGCATCTGGTGATGAAGCAGCAGACTGCCAGTTAGGTCGAGGCATATGTGATCTGCTTCGTAAAAGCCCATGCTTGCTTTCTTGCTCTCCTCTGCTTGACAATGTGAGAAGCAGTAGCTGTGCTGACACGGGAGAGATGCACTGTTCTTCAATGGCAGGAGTGAGGGAGAAGCAGGACACTGCTAGGTCTCCCAGGGCTGCTGGAGACATGGGCAGCTTTCAGGAGCTTTTGTCCTGCCTTTTATTTTTAAGATAGCTTTGGGAAGCTTTTGCTTGCCTTGTTTGTTTGTGGTTTCTCCACAGCTTTTGCCACGAGGTGGCAATGTTGTCACCCGTGTCACTTCACTGCGGTCTCTTTGGTGGCAATATTATTTTAATCTCTGTGCTGCTATCCTTTGCTGAAATTTTAGTCATGCATTTGCTACTGCTAGATGCTGCTGTTAGAGCAGACGCTCTCTTCTTTACTACCTAATAAAATATGAGCATTACCATATGTAACACAGAACGGTGTGGCTTCGAAGTTCCCTGCTCCCTTTTCTTTTCTTTTTATAAGCCATATGGACTAAACTAAACTGCTGACAAGATGTCTCTTGGCACTCTTTTCCTAGGATGTCTCTGCAAGATTTTAAGATTCATTTTGTAGATCTGATGATCTGTAAATTAACTCCAGACCTGATGAGCCAGGAACATGGGAAGAAGTGGATGTACTCCCTGAAGAGTGGGAGATGGGTTAAAGGAAGTACAGCGGGAGGAAGTCTGGGATTCTGTAATGGTGAGGGGTGCTCTTTTGAATGACTTCGGGGCAACATTGCTCTGCTGACTCAGTTACCAGCACCTTATACCTCTTAACATAAAATTGACAACAGAAACATGCTCTTCCTGCTTAACCCTCCACACAAACATCAGAAATAAGCAGTGGAAGGACTGACTAGCTTCTGCTATCACAGAAGCTGCATCACTTGCAAACATAGGGCAGTGGGCTGGTTATGGCATGAAATGAGCTGCAGGATCCTAGGATCAATTGCCAACACTGAGCTTCTTTGGGGCATTAAACTTGTCTGTTAAAATTTGCATCCTCAGCACATCTGGGGAGTGGTGTTTTAAGTAAAGTGAATGGGAAATACAGAAGCTCAGCCCTTCTGGAAGCAGAGCGGGGGGGTCTGAAGTCAGCTAGCCCATACGCTGGAGGTGATAGAGGAATAGTGATACGTTTATAAACAAAATGAGCTCTTAGTTGCATGTGAGCAGAAATGTAGTTCCTTGTTCCTGGGCCTTCTTCCGGTCTTACATAGTGGTTGCACTGCTAAACTTGTAAACTGCACCCTAAGATCAAATCCCTGTGGGGTCTGGAGGTCCAGGCAACCTGTGACCTATTCAGTCTGATGCCAGGCATCATGTGGGAAGCTGGCAACCAATTTTGTGATGGAAAATTATATCAAAATGTTTTTCTTGTTTTGTTTAGGCAGCTTTTGGATGAACCCTCAGTACTGGCTGAATGTTTTACCAGTTGAAGACAGTAAGAAAAGCCTGGGTTCCTGCAATGTGGTTATATCGCTGATGCAGAAACACAGCAGCAAACACCGGAACCAAGCTCCTCACCTGTTCATTGGATTTTCACTCTACAAAGTGCGAAGAATTGCTTTGCCCTTCTTGCTTTCACCAAATAGGAAAACTTCCAGCCCCTGTAACTTGTAGAGCTTTGCAGACCAAAAGTTTTGTTGTGTGCAGGGTGATCTGTGCTTTTTTTCTCCTTGCCTGTGCCCAGTCTCCTTGCTCATCAGGGCTAGGCTCCCTCAGGCTCTGTGCCCTACTTGCTGCCTCTCTGGCATGCTGTGTGTCAGCCTGCAGAGCAGTAAGAAACGCCTCTTGCTTCAGAGCACACTGAGCTTTATTTTGCCTTCTCTGAGAGTAGGTGCAAGAGCTGTGAGAGGGTGCCATGAGTCCCCTTACTTTGGGGCAGGGAGAGTCTTTCCCTCAGGTTTTTTCCAACCATGGTAAAATTGTGCCTGAGAAGTGTTCCTAGTATGACATGGCAGCTGCCCATGGGTGGATGCTGCCAGTTCCCTGTGTATCCAGGGGTAAGTGGATATTACTAGGAGTGAGAGTTCCGCCCCACCCCCAATTCTCTGCTTATCTGAGCACCTTGCAGAGCCATTCTCCTCCCTTGAACAGAGCCACATCTCTTGCTGCTGCTGTGAGTTTGTGCAGTTACGGAGAGATGGCTGTGGGGAAGGGTTTTCAGATGGAGGGGCTCGAGTTTCTGAAGGCAAAGACCCCAGCTGAACATATGTAGCTGCTTCTCAGCAATGATATGGCTATGTTGTGTGAGACCCAGAGGTCCCTGTCTGACAGATGCTCTGTTTCTTTTCTTCCTGCAGGTGGCTGTACAGGTAAGTCCCTTGTCACTGCTGCTGGCTGTTTGCTGGGGTACCTGGGCTGGTGTAGCTGTTATGACAAAACTGAAGGTGTTGTGTTTGCCTTTGTTCCTTAGCTGACAGCTAGTAACAGTGTATTTGAGTTCAGTGAGGCACCACAGTAAGTCACTATTAATGCAGAGCTATTTACTGACTCTTCTGAACAGCAGCCATATCAGGAGAGCTCAGTGGCCTTAAAAAAGGGGCATTACATGTTCAGCTTCTGCACTGGGTCTTCAAAGGTATTGGAAGTGGCATCAGTGTTTACCCGATCAGCACTTTGTCCCTCCTGCAATTGCAGGATGGTGCCCCAGTTCTGGGCTGTGTCTGAGCTGGACTTGCTGCAGCTCTCAGGGGAGCCAGAGCCACCTTTCTGCTGCCTCCCAGTCTGGGGATGAGGTAGGAACAGAGTTTGTGTCCCATGCAAGTCAGGGGTCTCCCAGGGAGCTTAGGTTCCTTCCTGGCTGGGGATGCTCTGGAGCTGATGCTACAGGTGTTTTTGGCTTCCTCAGGCCAGCTGTATTTCTAGCATTTTCTTTAGCCAGGAGCCTTTGGAACCTGAGGAAGGGCCCTGGAAATTAAACCTTGACGTATGTCCCAATTTTGGCCCTAACCTTAGAGGGCTATTTAAAACAGGGAAAGGTTTAGCTCCTTTTATCTTGAAAGGGCCTATCTTCCACTCTGTTCCTACTTGGAACACCTCTTAAATGAGAGTCCATTTGAATTTGGGCTGACAAAGAACTGGTTTGGATGTATGGTCAGGGCAGCACAACTGTGTTCCCAGTTACTGTATTTATAGCATGGTAACCATGAGGTAAGATGCTGCTCCTTCCTGACTTAAATATTTTGGGCACTATCAGGGTTACAGGTGAGTTAAACTTCCTGGCAGAGGAGGTCTGAGCGTGGCCCTAGCACACTGCTGTGCCGCACCCGAGGGGGAATGGTGGCAGCCAGGGTTTTAATTTCAGGTTTGTAGCGGTTGCCAAGATCAATACAGAGAGATGGCAAGCCAAGATCATCTAAGATATTGGAACTACAGTCAACAAAGTATTGACTGGAACATAAAAACTTTAAATTTAAATGTAAGGGGCATGAGGAGGAGTAACCCCGAACCCTTCAGAAGAAAGATTGCTCTGTTAGTAAGAAAAATACTGGCAAAGGAAGAGGAATAGCATCTCCTCCATGAGGCTGCGGAGTAAAATGGCTAAATGCTTTGAGGAACAGCCAAGATCAGAAGGTGACAGTGGTCTTAGCTAGCTGGATTATTTATTTGGCTTGTGTACTGGACACTCAGTGGCATTAAAAATGAGTTCATTGTTGCCTGGATCAACACTTTATCCATCCTCCTATTGCAGAAAAGTGCCTGCAGAGCGAAACATCTGTAAGAGCTAAGAGTGCCAGGGAGATCAAGGACAAATGCATGGAGTCAGGGCTAGGGAATACTTTGCTCCTGCAGTATGCTCAGATCACAGGTGGTCTGAAAAATCCTCTGCTGACAGATCCTTAGCGCAAAGGGCAAGCTGGGAACAAAGTGCATGGTGCCTGTGGGATAGGAAGCGTGTTCTGGCTAGTGAAGAGCAGTCACTAGAGCAGTTTGGGCCTGCAGTTATTTCTGCCAGTATAGAAATGACTTTTGCAGTAGCTTAGGTTGACAGAAGCCACTTCTCTTCCTAGTCCTTGCTGCTGTTCCTTGCAAGTACTATTATATAGTTGCTAATGTTGCGGGAAGCCCTGTTCTTTGTCATTTTAGTCTTGGATAGGTGTGGTGCATGGTGAGAACCACCATGTCCTGGGAGGAGATGGAGTCCTTTGGGACCCATTATCTGCTTGTACTGTAAGAAAAAAATCTGAGGTGTGAAGGCAGGCTGTCTATGCCACGCCTATGAATTCTCCACGTGCCTTTTGTCCATTTGTTCATCTGGTGCAGAACACATTTCTCTTCTGTTTCTTTCCTTAACAGTACCAGGAAAGCAACAGGAAGCTGCCTCCAGCTTTCTTCACCCAACATGAGCCTGTGAACATGCACCAGGTCTTCCGTGATGAGAGGGAAGTGACTCATGACTTCCGCCTGGAGCCTGGTGTCTATGTGATTGTGCCATCCACCCTGGAGCCTCAGCAGGAGTCTGAATTCATCCTGCGGGTCTTCTCCAGGAAGCATGTTCTTTGGTGAGATACTGCTGCCCTTCTGCCAGCACCTAATTCTCTGGGATGGTGAGATGGTCTGGTCTTTCTAATCTAATGGGGGCAGCATAAAGACTTTACCATGCAAAAGGCAGCACAATGTCTTTTGGAGAGGCTGGCTGTGGGTCTCCCCCAGCATAGGATGCTCAGTGGATGCAGCACTGCTTTTGGGCTTATCCTTTCAAGAACTGCTGACCTAGGCCCACACAAAGGATTGTTGCAGCATGCTCATGTTTGAGACTGGAGAAGGACAACAGTTTTTAATGCACCATCGATTTGCCAGGAGACCCTGCTGACAGTACTAGGGTGGTTGCTTGTGCAGAAATGGTGCTTTGGAGACTTCAAATGCCAGCAGCCCCTGGGGAGCTGTATGGAAATGAGGGCTTCCTTTGCTGCATCTGTAGCACTGGGTGGTGGTGGTGGGGAACATATGCCGCAACAGCGGGTTGGGGCACCTTCTGGGGATGGGGGATGCCACCTGTGATGAGACAAACATACAACTCTGGGATGTCTCCTTAATGCATCTGCTTTTTTGCATCTCCAGGGAAATGGGCAGGAACACCAGTTTCACCCTCTCTAAGGTGAGTGAGAGGTCTGTGGTTTGGTCCTCAGCTATGAGGGTTGGGTTTTTTTCCTGTTGCTCTACCCTGTGGAGAGGCTGAGTGAGAACATGAGTGCTTGTGTTGCAGCACTTTGGAAAGGGCAGCTTGGGTTTACAGGCAGAGTCCCTTGGACCATGTGGACAGATGCAGTCAAATGTTGGGGACAGGCAAATTTTTAGATGCCTTTGTTAGTCGCCTTTTTGCAAACTTCTTTTAGTGACACCATCTTACATGCTCTGCAGTCTTTCCTATTCATGGCTTTTTGGAGAGTCCTGGGCACTGCTCCTTTCATGCCTTGAAAGTTTTGAAGACATCATGGGACCTGAGCAGTACTGTTCCCATGCAGTGGTCTATAGGTTATTTTCAAAATAACTGAGCTCAATGGCAGTCCATGCACGTCTCCAGCTTATGCAAGGGAGTTTATAGCGTAATCTGGCATAAGCAGCGTCATTTCTTCTTTCATCTCCTCTATTCTCCTGTATAAAGGAGGGCAGAGACCCTTCTCTCTCTTCTTGGCATGGAGTGAGCCCCATCTTTTGTTATTGCACAGCTTGGTGGGAGGGAAATGTTCCTCCACGCTGAGTGTTAGCTGAGTATTTCCTTCCAAGAAATAGCATTTCTATGAAGTGGGTAGCTATCTTAGCAGTGTGCTGTGTTAGTGATGTAGCACTGATTGCAGTGGTGGGGAGAAGGTGGAAGGGCAGGGGATGAGAGTGCAGTTCTGGGAAAGCATCTTTAGTAGCTCTGTCTTGGATGGCGACATTTTTCTTCCTTGAGTTAATGATTTTTTTTTTTTAATATCTTAAAGGAAATTGTTGATAGGTATGAAGGCAAGATTTGGGAGGATTTATTCACAAAGCATTTTGAACAGGTAAGTGTGTGCATGAGCTGCCAGGGTAAACTCCTCCAGACCTGTTATGTTGCTCTGTGGAAGTAAAAGCCTGTGGATATTCAAAGGAGGTCTGGATGTGGAAGCGTGAGGAACAGAGAGGGGCCACAGGAGGTTGGGGTGTGTGTACAGTGCTGATTCCATGCAGCAGATTTAACTGCAAAACTTAGGAATATGTTAGCATTGAGACAGGCGTACTTCTCTATGCAACAGCATGTGAATGCCTGGAACCTAATGCCACAGGACATTGTGGATGTGATGGTATCAACAGGCTCAAAAGGTATTAGCAAACTGGTGGGCAGCAGGTCCGTAAACAGATACTAAAGGACTAGGCAGGGATGTATCCTCTAAGATCCCTTTTCCAACAGGTATGTGTGTGGGGGGGTGCCAGGGAAACAGGAGAATGGACTGCAGAAGCTGACCAGGCTCACATGCTCTCCCTACACATTAATTCCTATTGCCTGTATTGGAGACAAAGTGGTGGGCTGTGTGGATCCATCCTACCCTTTAGGGTGTTTTTACAATCATTGGGGAAAGTCGCCTATTAGAGAACACCCCCTGAAATATTGACACTTGTCTTGTACATCCTTCATCACAGTTTGATGGCAGCTAACTTGCTTTGAGAGGTGAAGTAAGTCCCATTACCTGATTTTTTTCACTAGTTTTCCTAGTGAAATATGATCCTTATTGTGAAAGATTCTTTTTAATGATCTCTATGGCCTGATTTGGGATGGAGTTGACCTTCAGGGATCCCATTAACTATGGCAAGGGATGCGTTTCACCTTTCAGAAAAGGTGGCTGCATTTATTTAGCAGTGTACCCTGTATTTGGCAAACACAATTTCACAAAAACACATTTGCACTTTTGATAGCAATATTTTGATGGAAGCTGTTACTAAAAACAAGCAATGCTTTTACTTTTTGCCACTTGTTTAAGATTTTGATTTTGAGAACGGTGTGGCTTTCAGATGTGCTAGAAACTGCCACATATTGTGAGGTGCTGGTCCTTTGCTGTCAGGAGGTCCAAGTACACACAGAGGCGAGCAGTACTGCCATTTCTCAGTGCACTACCCTGGCATGCCTCAATGATCTGAAAACAGGCTTTTATTTTTGAAGAGTGACATTTAAAAAAATCCTCCAAACAAATGTCACAGTTTCTAAAAAACCTGTAAACTTTAGTATAACAAGAAGGAGAAGTCTCTGCTTCGAAAAGCTGAAGGAGGAAGTATTCCAAAGTTTCCATCTTTTTTTGTTTGTAAATGATAGAAGGAAAATATTTGAATTGGGTCTTTTGACAGTGTGCTTGATGGGACAGATGGCACCAGGGCTGAAAGGTTAACGGTCTGGATCCTCACTCAGTGTAAATCTGCACTACTGCATCGATCCGTGTGGAGCCCTGAGAACTTAGTCCAGAGCAGACTGCGGCTCTTGCAGGCTGCGAATCTTGTCATATTCAAAGGGAGTCTTTTCTATTGATTTTCACAGTGGCTGGAGTGGGGCCAGAAAAGCAGAGAATGAAGATGGGACATGATGGGAAAACAAAAGAGGGAGAAAAGTGATTTAATACTTTTTTTAAAAAAAAAAAATTCTCTTCCATATCACAGAATCCCGAAATAAATGCTGTTCAGCTCCAGAGGATCCTGAATAATATATCTTGGAGAAGTAAGTGCTGAGAAATAACGTTTCTGTAAAATAAACCCTCTTAGGGAAAAGCCTCAGCTCCTGTATCTGTCTCTTGAATTCTGGGAAGAGAAGCTGGCTTGAATCTGACTGAACTGAGTCTTCTGATGCCATGTTAGATTTCCAGAGAGAAAGGATTTGCTGGGGTATGAATCAACATGGTAGAAATTTTATAAGCAAAGCTAATCTAGTTTGAATTTCAACAACTGAAAGAATGAAGGAGAAGAGCAAGCATAGATATTGTGTGTGGATGCAGACTCTGAATTTGACCTCCAAACCCAGCCTGACCTCAGCCTTGAGTCTGAAACTGTATCTCGTTTCACCCTGTGCCACTGTCACAGTCTCGTCAGTGCCACTGCTGGAAGCTGTAGAAAGTTAGCCTGGTCTGTAGGCAGTTACGCAGTGGAAGGGGGTCTTGTCTTTACCTTGATGTGCCTGGTTTATGCCTGCTATTCCTATTTACTCTTCCCTGCTATGCATGCATAGGGCTGTTCCTTGTTCTGTTTGTGTTTGGGAGACAGGATGGAGAGGCAGGTAGCCTGTGTAACTTATGCTTGTGAGAACCAGGTGAGCCCTGAGGTTGTCTCTCCCATGAGGACTGTGACATCCATTCTGCCAGTGGCAACCCAGAGCACTCCACAAGCTCATAATTTGGTCCCTGGTTATAAATAATGCTACCTGGACAGCAGCAAGATTTTGCAGTGGCTGTTTTCTCTGAACAACAACAATGAAGTTACAGATATAATGACAAATCCAGTTTTCCTCCCCAGTTTCTTCACTGGTAACAACTGATTGTGCAACACAGAAAATACACCGTCCAGCCATTACAGGCAATGAAGACAATGAAAAAAAGACTGATATGATGCCTTTTTTTCACTTAAGCTGAATTTGACATTACTCCCTTTTCTACAAAGGTGGACAAGGATAGCTCTTCTGTCTTTGTAAAGTGACCCACCAGGCACTGTCTTATCTGTGAGAAGACTATGTTGAACTGTGTCTTTATTTTTCATAAGTGATCAATTTTAAGACATTAATTTAAAAACTTTACAGTACTTGATTCATATTTACTAAACAGGGCTATTACAAGATTAAAACATCTTCACTTTCTGCAGGGAAGGGATTAGTGAGTTATGGTTCTGTCCCTTACTCTGTGGAAGTCTACAGACAATCTATAATCATGATGTGCAGTGAGATTAGAGTCTATTTCTGTTACTCTTCATGTAACTTATGTATACACCAGGAATACTAAGCTTTGATGCGGCATCATGTTTTCAGTGATGCCTGTACTTTTAATTATATTAACAGAGCTGGCAGTGTGTCTGTGAAAGAGGGAGAGAGATGCTTAGCATGGGGGTTTCAGTTAATCTGCAGTGCTCCTCCCCAAAGCTCTTCAGGTCAAGTGACTTTGCTCAAGGTCATGCAGTAAATTCTGTTTGGGATTACAGCTTTGGATGTCTTTTTCCTTCCATTTTCTCTAATAGCTGGAGATAGTGCACCATATTTCATTCCATATTACATGCCTGCAGGGAGCTCATATTGGATTTTCTGAGACTAGTAGAATCCATCCTGTTGCCTCATTATTTTTATCATCATAAATGATATGTCTTCTCAAGTGGGTATAAAGTTTCACAAAGGCTTTGGGGCCTGAGCCCTCTCAAGCAAGGGGGAGTTTTGGGAAAGTCCATTTTCTGAGAGATGTTCAGTGACTCATCAAAACAATCTTTTTTTTTTTTCCCCCTCCTTTTTTTTTTGTCTCCAGATTTCCAGAGTTTTCGCCTAAGTTTCAGTCTGGATGCCTGCCAGGGTATCTTGGCGCTCCTGGATGTATCCTTGGCATGACTGATACTTCTGACTCATATAATACTTTACTGGAGCATTATTTCTTAGGGCAGACTGGATGTTACTGCGATTTCTTTACCACCAGGACGTGGCCCTGCTTATTGAACTTCTCACCCTCCATAATAACAGTTCAGTCGTGACAGAATGGAATTGGTTTGGGAAAGGGTTGATTGCTGCTGGCT